CAGTGCGTAACAGCGCAATTTAGGATTTAACCAAGTCTTTGCTGCGGGGCTTAAAGCAGTCTTCAAGAGAGACGCTTGCACACACAATGTTAGTGTAGACTCTGTGGACCCCTATAGAGTTAGGCTGCCTTTTTACGTTGTCTTATCCAAACTATGACTGGAGTATTCGACAGAAGGATTCAGAGTATTAAACCTGCAGATTTTCTAAACCCTTTTCAGCTCTCCACGATGCATCATCCATCTCAGGAATCTCCAACCCTACCGGAGTCGACAGCCACGGATTCTGGCTATTACAGCCCTGCTGGAGGAGTTCATCATGGCTATTGTTCACCGAACGCGGGCACGTATGGAAAACCTCTTAATGCCTATCAGTACCAATACCACGGAGTCAATGGATCTTCTGGAAATTACCCTGCAAAATCCTACCCTGATTACGGCTCATACTCTGCAGCATATCACCAATATGCCGGAACATATAATAGGGTGCAGTCACAACCGAGCCCGCAAGGTTAGTTATTGTATAATTTTTTCAATTATTGTTATTTTTATAATAATTATTGTTTATTGTTATTATTATTATACATAATAAACATTATCATGGTTGAGCATTATTGTTGAACATATTATATAACCAGGGTATTACAGTTGTTTTTTATTATAAGGTCCAAATTTTGTAACTAATTTGGACGAAATTTTAAACTGCTGTAGCATTGCATCTAATTCGAAATGGGTTCTTTAACGATTTACTATGTTTTATATATATACATTTACAAAACACTACATGCGTAAAAAGATAGATTACATAGAAAATAGAAGCATTTAAAATGCGTAAATATTTAAGAAATTATTCTCTGACAATCAAATGTCTCAATGACTTTATGCGAGTAGCAATTTGAAAGCACTATAGCCTACGACACTTGACATAGGCTAAATCACTGCAAAAATGACCAACAATCAAGGGAGTGCTTTTCTATCCCCATGTATTCATCTAATATTTGTTCACCCGTTAGAAAAAGAAACAGCCGAGCCCGAAGTGAGGATGGTCAACGGTAAACCCAAGAAAGTCCGGAAGCCCCGCACCATCTACTCCAGTTTTCAGCTCGCTGCTCTACAGAGGAGGTTTCAGAACACGCAATACCTCGCGCTTCCAGAGAGAGCCGAGCTCGCGGCATCGATGGGACTCACACAGACACAGGTTCGACAATATTTTATTGAATATTTTATTGTAATGTCTTTTATGTAATAGGCCTACTCAAATAATAATAGTCCTATATATTTGAAATTAAAATATTGATATGAGCTTGCAGCAACGTTGGGAGTCACAAACGCTTGTTTAACATTTAGGCTAAAGTATTTTTCAAAGGCTGTTAAAATAATAGGCCTAAGCGATGTTAACGACATAATATTTTTTTATTATTATTAAAGAGTATAAATCTGGCAGAAACAGCCATTGCGCTTTATTCAGGAATTTGCCCTCAGAATCTCATAAAACCTTTTGTTTCTTCACAGGTGAAAATTTGGTTCCAGAACAAGAGATCAAAACTAAAGAAGATAATGAAAAACGGCGAACTGCCTCCAGAACACAGTCCGAGCTCCAGCGACCCGATGGCGTGTAATTCACCGCAGTCTCCCGCGGTCTGGGACTCGCATGGTCCTCAGAGACATCACAATCAGCCGCAAAATATTAACACACCGACATCCACGTTTCTGGAAAGCGCCAGCTCGTCCTGGTACTCCTCCACCGGGGCAACACTGCCTTTTATTCCAAACACTGATTGTTGTGCTTGTGTCTCTG